TACTAAGATAGAAGAACAAGCACAAAAAGGATAAAAAAATCTGAAGAAGGCCTAAGATTCATGTTGGATAACATGAAGAGGAATAACTTAAGAATTATTGGTATTCCAGAATAGGAACAATCACACAAGTCCACAGATGAGATAGTTGAAGAGCTTCTGAAAGAAATATTTCCTAATATCCTGAAAAGTGAAAATATAAGAATTCAAGAAACTCAACGAACACCAGCATGGATAGACCCTAAAAGAAAATCACCAAGACATATAGTAATCAAGCTTTCCAATATCAAAGATAAGGACAGAACTCTGAAAGCAACTAGGGAAAAGAGAAGTGTAACATACAAAGGCAAGTAAATCAGATTAAGCTCGGATCTCTCAACAGAAAACATGCAGGCAATGAGGAGATATATATAAAACCCTGAAAGAAAAAAAATTCCAACCAAGAATCCTCTACCCAGCAAAGCTGTTGATCAAATACGATGGTGTAATCAAAACATTCCAGGATAAACAGAAGCTAAGGGATTTTGCCTAAGCCAACCCTGCTATGAAAAACATCCTAAAGAAAGTTCTGTGGACTGAGAATCAGCAAGAACAGACAACAACCAGAGAATGATGTACATGGCAGCATCACCCTGAACTCAACCAATAAATGGGAGAGTCAAGAACAGAAAAAAAATTGTAAGAACCTCTGGGAGGTCAGTCTGTGATCAAAACAATTACCATGTGAAAGAAGGTAAACACAGAGGAGCAGAGATCCAGGTGGTGGGAAGGTCAGGTAGATTACAGGATAAAATACTCTGTCTTAAATTGAGGGAAGAGTTATTGGAATATAAGGTAACCACAACAGTGGCATTGGGATGGGAGGTTTAGTTCGGGTGTTGGGGGGGCAATACAAGAAGGGAGAGGAGGTGAAAGAAAAAGATAGATAGGGGAACACTGAGACGGGTTTGCATGGCCTAGTGGGACAGAGGTAAATAGTGATGCATGCTCAACCTTGGAACAACAGGGATCTATGATACAGGGAGCTAGGCATAGCTTGAAGAGGGGAAATACTACTGAAATTCTTGACTGTTTTATGAATATTGGTTTCCCTTGCCTACTATTGTAAACTAGACACTTGAGTGGGATAGAAAGGAAATTGGGAAACATGATTAGAGAAAACTTGGAAGCCCATCTTCAGCCTATAACTGATTGGAATACCTAAAAGGGATTCTAGAACTTGCCCAGTGAAATAGGCCTCTTGCAGAGTCTTTGCCAAGTATAGAACCTTAGGTGAAATCCTGAATCCCATACAGAACCTTCTGAGATGGGACATTCCAACTAGAAAGGACAAGCGGACCAGCCTGGAGCAGCTAGAGTGACAGAAGATACATCTTCAAAGAAATATCATCAGGTAAAACCCAAAACAAAAATGTCAGCATGACTGGCTACTACAAGAATAAGCAAGCTGTTCACCAGGAAGCCATCAATGCAAGCAATCAAGTTCCTTCAGGACAAACTCCCCTCTAAGACTGAAACATAAAGGTTACACATGAGCAGGCACGTAAGTTACTGGAGACCATAGTGGTCTACTGGTGAGTGGAAGAGGGGGAAAGGCAGCGATGAAGAAATGGGCTGAGTTCAACAACAATTCATTGACTACCATTGACTTGTAAATGAGAGAGAGAAGAGGAAGGGCTGGTTGGTCCAAAGTGTGGTGAAACCTGAGGACACTTGAGCCCACGGACAAGGACATAGCCACAGAGGGCTAGAGCTGAAAGTGAAGCATCCAGCTGATATGAAGTGAGGGGAGATGCACAAGAATACCCAAACTTGCGGGCAGTACCCATTGATGGCTTGATAATCAGAACCCGACTAGAGGAAGTTTAAAAAAAAATTTTTTTTGATAAAGGAAACAAGGGTAAATTGTTACAATTTGATTAGGGTAGTAACTCTAAATACCAATAGAGAGGGAAGTAGTCTTGACATCAAGTATCAATGCTATCCCCTCTGTACACAGGGTAGATAGGGATGGGCAAATCAGGCATTGGCTACCTAAAATGAGGGGTGATAAAGGCACAAAGTGACTGACTTACGAGGTTTCAAGAGGGAGTTTAAGTTTAAGAGTATGGGGGTTAAGAAAGAGTCCCCACTGAATAGTTTTAATCTTGTCTAGATGTGTCTGGTGAAAAGATATTAGGATAAGATTTGTATGATTCAGTAGTGAATAATTGTTATCATGACTAATTGAGACTGTCACAATTGTAAAGGTAGAAGTTTTGTAACAAAAACAGGGGATTGGTTAATCTTACAGTCCAGAAACAAAGGACCCTAGGTCCATCAAGGGAGAAGAAGAGTACAAGAGGAATGAGAGCCCTTATCCAGAGAAGCAGTGATACCAGAGATGGAGGCAGAGATGGGGACATAGAGAGAGGGAGCAGCTGAGGACTCTAGATTCATGGGAAGAGAGGGACTAAGAGCTGGTGACCAGACTTGCAGAATGTGCCCTTTGGAGGTGTAAATTTTTATATATGACTGACTGTTTTTTTAAAAAAAAAAGAAAAAGCTAAAGTGGATAGAGAGAAATACTGTTAACTGATGGCACATGGAGGAGATTACAATCATTGTCTTAAAAACAAAATGGATTGTGGTAGCAGCAATAAACTCAAGCATGACAACAATTGTGAGGTTGGCTCAGGACCAGGGTGTGTTTTGTTCTGTTGTGCACAGTGTCACCATGACTCAGAACTGACTAACGTCACCTTACAACAACAGCTTTTTAAAAGAAAATTCCACAAAGTTAATCTATGGAATATCTTGTTTTAGTTAGTATCCCCATTTCCTGTGGTGTACTCAGGGGCACATTACCCAATGAGAACGGTAAGCACTGGCTTACCTCTCCTTACTTACTAATCTACAATGAACAAGTTTACTTTTTTTTTCACCACATCACAAATCCTGCTCCTAGGTCTGGCTGGTATCTGTCAATCTATCTCAACCCCACCAGCACCTTCCTAAAGAATCAAAGCCTCTTTTCAAATTCACATTCCCTTACAATAGTGAATAATTGTTATCAGGACTGACTGTGAGGGTTGGAGATGTAAAGGTAGATGTTTTGTAGCAAAAGGAGGGGAGTGGTTGACTTTGCAGTCCAGGAGAGGAGACCCCTGGGATCATCAAGGGAGAAGAGTAGAGAGCGGGACCCTACCCAGAGAAGCAGTGACGCCAGAGATGGAGGCAGAGATGATGATGTGGAGAAATGGAGCGTCTGGGGACTTTAGACCCAGAGAGGGAGAGGGGCTGTGTGCTGACAACCAGGGGGCAGGCTTACAGGGTATACCCTTTGGTTGGTTGATGATGCATGGAGGGGGTTGTAACCATGGCAATGAAACCGATGTATGATAGGATGAATGTAAAGCTAATGTTCTCTCATGTAAACTATCACATAATTAACAATAAAACATTTTTAAATTTATATTACCTGACAGTGACAGAGTACTCAATAAGCAAAGTAAACATAGGCTTACTGTTAGTAACTAATCACAAGTAAGTCCATTCTTACCTTGATTATTGGGTTATCCACCCCCAAGACAATTAGAGCCGATTCTTAATAACTGTGTGCAATGCTAGTTAAATATTTCAGCATTTTGCAAGCTGGTTGTTAAACTATTGGTAGCCTGAAATAAAGCATGGTGAAAATATTTATACCACGGTAACCAGCAAATGCTACAATCAGAGCTTTCCCCCATTAAAGCCAGTGTACCAGTATTAGGGTGTTATAAGGTGCCATCGAGTTGGTTCTGATTCGTAACCACCCTGTGTACAACAGAACAAAACACTGCCCAGTCCTGCACTATCCTCACAGTTGTTGTTATGTTTGAGTTGTCACTGTATCAATCCATATCCTTGAGGGTCCTCCACTTTTTCACTGACCCTCTACTTTTGCTCTAATAGCGCAGTGGTTACGAGTCGGGCTGCTAACCTCATGGTCAGCAGTTCGAAACTACCAGCTATTCTGTGGGAGAAAGATGAGGCTTTCTGCTCCCATAAAGATTTACAGCCTCGGAAACCTTGTACAGGGTCGCTATGAGTCAGAACCGACTCCACGGCACCTAACCACCACCACCACAACTTTTCCAGGCATGATGTCTTTCTCCATGGACTGGCCCCTTCTGATCATATGTCCAAAGTGCAAAAAATGAAGTCTCACCAACTTCTAACCCCTTCACTGCATCACTTAGGTTTGACAAGAAAGACAGAAGTAACCAATCACTTCTTTTGGAAAATAATTAAGTAATTATATTGTGAAATTTTTCTACCACTTTACTGAAAATTGTTTACCAACCACGAAAGAAGTTCACCACTGGACCAATAAGTAACATCCATATAAATGGAGAAAAGATTGAAGCTGTCAAAGATTTCGTTTTGCTTAGATCCTCCATCAACACTCATGGAAGCAGCAGTCTAGAAGTCAAACGCTGTATTGCATTAGGAAAATCTGCCGCACACAACCTCTTTAAAGTGTTGAAGAGCAAGTTGTCAGTTTGAGGACTAAGGTGTACTTGACCCAAACTGTGGTATTTTCAGTTGCCTCATATGCATGAGAAAGCTGGACAGTGAATAAGGAAGACCACAGAAGAATTGACGCATTTGAGTTACGGTGTTGGAGAAGAATATTGAAAGTACCATGGACTCCCAAAAGAACAAACAGATCTGTGTTGGAAGAAGTGCAGCCAGAGTGCTCCTTGGAAGCCAGGATGGCCAGACTTGATCTCTCATACTTCAGATATGTTGTCAGGAGGGACTAGTCAGTGGAGAAGAATATCATGTTTGGTAAGGTGGAGGGTTGGAGAAAATGAGGAAGACCCCCAATGAGATGGATTGGCACAGTAGCAGTAACAATGGGCTCAGGTGCAGCAACAATTGTAAAGTTGACCCAGGATCGGGCAGTGTTTTGTTCTCTTGTGCAAAGGGTCGCTATGAGTTAGTACCGACTCAATGGCACCTAACAACAATAACAATAACAAAGAAGTTCTGAGATGACATCACTATCAAAGGCACAAAGAATAGGCAGGTCAGGACGGGGTGTACCATGGGACTAGAAAGAAAGGGTCAGTCTGATTAAGGTGGTCAGAAGACTAGGTCTTCTTGAGAATGCTTCTTTGGGCAATGTGAGATGAAGGTCATAATTGACAGTAAAGATGTTTTACACAAGGTCAAGCAGAACTTAAAATGTGGGTTGACTTAGTAATGTTGTGGAATACAGTCTTCTATTGTATGATACTATATGTAGCTGAAACTGTACACATTATGAGAAGACAGCATGTGTGCCTAATATATATTTCATATATTTCTAGAACATTCTATACCAGCAACTATAGCAAAGCTGAAGTCTTACTTAGAATCACGTCTTAAAGTTTCAGTATATAATCCTGAAGCTCTCAAAATAAGTATACAGGTAAGTTCACAGGGTTTGCATGTTTTCAGATTTTAGTTGACATAAAACCTAATGTCTAAACTAAGCACAAAGGTATGCACTCAGCTGCTCCCCAATATGTTGGCGGTTCAAACCCACCTAGCAGCTCCATGGGAGAAAGACATGGTAACTGGTTCCTATAAAGATTACTGCCCAGGAAACCCTATGGGTATATGGCAGCTCTACTCACATAGGGTCATTATAGTCTAAAGTAACTTAATAGCACTTTAGGGAACAATAGTTTAAAGCATAGATATCAATGCATGATAAGAATGTTGTTGCTGTTAAGTGCCATGGAGTCGGTTCCGACCCATAGTGACCCTGAACAGGGTTTCCGAGGCTGTAAATCTTTACGGGAGCAGAATGCCTCATCTTTCTCCTGCTGAGCAAGGTTTTCCGCTACAAGGAAATAATTCGGTAATTATGTAGCATTTAGATTTACATATTACATACATTTTAATCATTATAATAAATTATTTTCCTCTAACAAGAAATATGTATGATCTTTCATGTAAGCTTTTAAATTCAAGAGAGTATAAAGAAGTAGGAAAAGTTAAATACTTTATGTTTAAATGAAATATGGGATGGCTGTAGCAAAAACTTGCTGATGCACAAGATCCAACAAAATATAAATGAATGGTATTATGACACATGGTTTACAAGATTTCTACCCTTATAATTGTCAGTGTAAGAAGTTCCCAACAGATTTCAAATGCAGTGATAAGAATAGTATCTTTTAAAGTGTATGAAGTATTCTCCCTCCTTTTCCCTAATGTTATTATTTGTAAGGGTATTTGAAAGCTGAGTTTAACATTAAATTACTATTATTTGAACTAATAAGTAGGGACTAATAGATTACCTAATAGAGTGGGATAGAAAGAGGGTTTATTTAAGTTAGGAAAATATGAGTTCAGTACACTTCACCTGCATATACAGACAGACAGACACATGCATTCCTCTTCTAGCTATCCATGATATTGTTGCTGTTGCTAAGTGCTGTGGAGTCAGCTCTGACTCATAGCGACCCTGTCTAGGGTTTCCAAGGAGCAGCTGGTGAGTTTGAACCACCGACCTTGAGGTTCAAACTGACACCAGAATTGCATAGGGCTATCCATAGAGCACATAAAGTTGATATAGTCTGGGTAACTGTGACAGCCAGCAAAATGATGGGACATCTTTGGGCATTTAAATGAATAGATATTTTCCATGTGGAATGTGCCCATCAAAAAGAAAAAAAAAAAAGGTAATAGAGGTAAATACTGTTGGCTAAGGGTGCCTGAGGGGACTGTAATAATTGCAATGATTTGCTGAATGTAAAACTAGTGATCTGCCCTGTAAGCCTTCACTCACTCAGTACAAAATAAAAACTTAAAAAAAAAAGGGGGACCTATTAGAACAAATCAAGCTGGATTCAGAAGAGGCCGTGGAACGAGAGATATCATTGCTGATGTCCGATGGATCTTGGCTGAAAGCAGAGAATACCAGAAGGATGTTTACCTATGCTTTATTAACTACGCAAAGGCTTTCAATTGTGTGGATCATGACAAGCTATGGACAACATTGAGAAGTATGAGTATTCCAGAACACTTAATTGTACTTCTAAGAAATCTGTACCTGGACCAAGAAGCAGTTGTTTGAACAGAGCATGGGAACACTGAATGTTTTAAAATTGGGAAAGATGTGCGACAAGGTTGTGTTCTTTCACCATACTTATTCAACCTGTATGCTGAGCAAATAACACGAGAAGCTGGGTTCTATGAAGAAAAACGAGGCGTCAGGATTGGAGGAAGACTCAATAACAACCTGTGATATGCAGATGATACAACCTTGCTTGCTGAAAGTGAAGAGGACTTGAAACATTTACCTATGATGATCAAAGAGCACAGCCTTCGGTATGGATTGCATCTCAATGTCAAGAAAACAAAAATCCTTACCACTGGACCAATAAATAACATTCTTATCAATGGAGAAAAGATTGAAGTTGTCAAAGACTTCATTCTGCTTAGATCAACCATCAACACTCACGGAAGCAGCAGTCAAGAAATCAAACGACGTATTGCATTAGGAAAATCTGCCGAACACAAACTCTTTAAAGTGTTGAAGAGCAGAGATGTCAGCTTGAGGACTAAGGTACACCCGACCCAAGCCATGATATTTTCAATAACCTCATATGGATGCGAAAGCTGGACAGTAAATAAGGAAGATCGTAGAAGAATTGATGCCTTTGAGTTGTGGTGTTGGAGGAGAATACTGAAAGTGCCATGGACTGCCAAAAGAACCAATAGATCTGTTTTGGAAGAAGTGCAACCAGAGTGTTCCTTGGAGGCCAAGATGGCTAAGCTTCTTCTCTCATAGTTTGGACATATTGTCCTGAGGGAACAGTCTCTGGAGAAGGATGTCATGATGGATAAGGTGGAAAGTCAGAGAAAGAGAGGAAGACCCCCAACGAGATGGATCAGCCAGGTGGCATCATTGATGGCATCAAGTGTGGCAGCAGTAGTAAGGTTGGCCCAGGATCGGACATTCTGCTGTGCATGGGGTCGCTATGAGTCGGTTCCGACTCGATGGCACCTGACAACAACAATTAGAACAAAAAGATGAGGATTATAAAAAAAAAAAAACACCAACAACAACACCTCACTAAGGCCAAGTTAGGCTTTAGACATATTTCTGTCTTTTCATGTAAACCAAGAAGTGACTACTGAATACCTCTCTTTGAAACTCTCCTCCTTTTTTTTTTTTTAACTTTTTATTGTGAATTAAATGAAGGTTTACAGAGCATATCATGAGTCCCATTCAACACATCATATACTTTACATCATTGCAATGACTGCAATCCCCTCCCTGTACCTTCAGTTACCGGTATTTACCTCTATTCACTTTAACTCTTACATTCCTCCTTGTGTCTTCCCCTACCCTCATCTTTCCTGTGCCAATCTCCCTCTTGTTGTATATTACCTTCTACATCATCCAAGGACTCCTGGTGTGGTGCTGTAGAATCAGCACTGGACTGCAAACTACAAGGTCGGCAGTTCAAACCCACCAGCTGCTCCTTGGAAACCCTATACAGGGTTGCTATGAGTTAGAACCAACTCGAAGGCACTTAACAACAACAATATCACCCAAGTTAACATGTGTCTACCCACTACCCAATGAATCATTTTCCCTTCCCTCTCACCCCTGGTAACCATCATAGAATGTTTCTTTTACCAAGAAAACTTTTTACAATAGTAGTCTCATATAGTATTTGTCCTTTTGTGATTGACTAATTTCACTTAGTATAATATCTTCTAGGTTTTTCTTTGTATTTTAATGCATGAAAGTGTATGTCCAAGAGCCTTAGGGAGGGGAATCATTATCTATACCAAAAGTTGTCCCAGTGTATATTTTCACTTAAAGGTAGATACTTGTTGATACTGTTAGTGACTGGGTATATGTATTTTCCCCCCCACAGGGCTCTGAACTCTTTCACTTCAAAGTAACTGTTGTTCCAGGGGTCACTTTTTGTAACTTAGTTGAAGAATTTCAGGTACAGTGAATGTAAAGGTATCCAATGGGGTAGTGGCTGGGGAGATAAGACCACAAGGTTCAATCTAAGAGACACTGAAGAGGGAAAAGGAAAAAAAAAAAAAAAAAGGATAGGATTTGTATGATGGACAAGCGATTGTGGAAAACTGGTAGTGCTGTTGTCAGTAACGGTACAGCGGTCACATGACAAGTGACAGCTCTAATTGTTGCTGGGGAGAAAATATTCATAAATGATTGCATTTGTTTTTGTTCCTTCTCCACCTTCTATATTTAGTTTGATTTTCTGACTTTTTTTTTCTCTTCCCTTTTTTAAATTGTTGTAAAAATCGGTAACACAGTATTTGTAATTTTTTACATGTAAATTCAGTGACATCAATCATGTTGTACAAGCCTCACCAAGTGTTGCTGTTGTTGTTCAGTGCTGTGGAGCCCATTCTGACTTATAGCAACCCTATATAGGGTTTCCAAGGTTGTCAGTCTTTGTGGAAGCAGAAAGCCTCGTCTTTCTTTCACTGAGCGGCTGGCGGGCTAGAACTGCGCTCCCCAGCATCACCAATAGTCATTGCCAAATTTTCCATCTCCATAAACAAAAACTCAGAGCTAACTAAACAATGATTCCCTCCTCATCCTTCCCACACTGGGCAACTACCATTAAACTCTGATCTCCATCCATCTGTCTGTTGTAGGTATTTCATATTGGTGAGATCATACAATACCATCCTTTTGTGATTGACTTATTACATCCAGCGTAGTGCTTTCAAGGTTAATCCATGTTGTGGCGTTCATCAGAACTTCATTTTTCTTTATTGGAAGAGTTATTGTTGTTATGTGCTGTCAAGTCAATTCCAACTCATAGCGACCCTGTATAGGGTTTCCAAGGAGTGGCTAGTGAACTTGAACTGCCGACCTTGCATTTCGAGCCAACCTTGCAGTCCAGCGCATTAGCCCGCCCGCAGCACCACAACAGGACTCCTATACAGTGTCTCTGTGAGTTGGAACCGACTCAACGGCACTTAACAACAACATATAATATATGTTGCATACTGCTCAAAGAGTATATATATGTTGTTGCTGTTGTTAAGTGCTGTCAAGCCCATTGTAACTCATAGCGACGGTATATAGGGTCTCAAAGGAGAGGCTGGGGAGTTTGAACCGCCAATCTTGTAGTTCAAACCAACTTTGCAGTCCAGTGCTTTATCCTACAATACCACTCTAGGACTCCATTCATGGAGAATGGAATTGAAAGATAATGGAATTTTTCCATGAACTTTCTAAAGTTCCTTTATAGATATTTTATTTGATTCCTCTCATATGTTTGTAACGTTTTACTTTCTAGTACTATCCTCCCTTTGGTTATTTGCATTGAGTCTTAAATACTCCAAAAGTTTTAAAGATCCAAAATGGGTCTCCACATATAAATAACAACTTGTTTTATTCATTCAAATAATGACATTAGCTTTGGGGAGAGGGAGCTGGGGGTGCTGGGTGGTAGGAAGACCTGAGGATTTTATTAAGTTGGTTAATAACATATTTCATTCAGTGTCAAATACTGATAGCACATTGACAAAAGCAAAATGTCTTGCAAAGGTGGGGGGGGGGAGCCCAAACTAGGAAACTAAGGAGTTGTTTTTGTTAGGGGCTATAGAGTCAGTTCCAACTCATAGCGACCTTCTGCACAACAGAATGCACCACTGCCCGCTGCTGCGCCAGCCTCACAACA